TGAACCCCCAATTTGGCATCAAGTTTTCGGCTAAGATCTAGGGGTGGAGGGAATAAATCTAATTGGCCCAAGCAACCATTGTACTATTCTACACTTTTTGGCTTTTAGATGAGGTATGTAGTCCTGTCTTTCTGGCAAGAAAAATTCCAGACTGTAGGCACCTTGTTCCTCATTCCTTGACTCCTCAATCGGCTCGGATGACTATATTTCCATATCATCATCCAAGCCAATGTGGAAAAATGTTTGGAGTGAGGACCAATGCGCTCAAACACATGAACTTCAGGACTTTCAGCATCCTCAACATCAATGATACTAAAGTCAACAAAATTTGTATCCTCAACGTCCTTGGCTGACTCTAGTCCCACTTCTTCAACATTGACATCCTCAAATTGTAGTTGGCTAGGTTGTTGATGTTCTACTCTGGCCTCCCCAATTAACACCTCAAATTCATGCTCTTCTTGGCTACTATCCCCAATATTGGCTTGTTGAGCATTAACAGCTCCAACCACTTGACTCAATTGAGCCTCCAAGTTGCGAATAGTTGCCTCTTGTCTCTCTATCTGCAGTTGTTTCTCATTATTTTGTTCCAGAAGACACTTTAACATATCCCTGATCTCCTTCAGGTCTGCATCCCCAGGCTCTTTGTTCCTGCTAACTTCACAAGAAAAGGTAGAACCATCATAATAAGGGGTTAGGGGAAGATAAGAAATATAAGCACAACCATAAAAATGACCATTTTTACCACCACACACATCACACACATTCCACAAATAAGATTGAGTTGGTGCACATAACTCGCTCTTAGGAACGTTTTGAAAATTTTGCCATGGGTGGTTTCCTTCACAATATGTATGGAGATTAATAGTAGAATTATCTACACCTAAATTCCCATAATTCCAAGATGTCATGTTTCTCAAATCAATAGCTATAAAAAAATAAAAATAAAATAAAAAAATAAAATAAAAGTTCAAACTCGAAACCTAGCAATATATACAGTTACAACTATACCGTTAGTTTCCCGGCAACAACGCCAAAATTTGATCACGCCCAACTCTAGTCCTAAAAAGGATAAGCGGTCGCTGCAAATATAATCCGGTCTAAAAGTCCGGAGTCGAACCCCACAGAGAACTAATGCTTAGCTATATCTGTTTAATATCACTAAAAAGACAAATTTGAACAATTTTCTAAATTATAAAGATTGATATTTATATTTCTAACTACTTAACTAGCAAATACTAGAAAACGGTAAAATTATCAACTAACGAGACAAAGGGTTGGAGACTAAATTAAGGAGGTCTAGAGTTATGATTTCCCCAATTGTCGGAATCTTTCTAGCTATGTTTCCTACAATTTTTCCAATGTATTTTCTACTGATCGTGAGCACTTAGGTGTCGTAATTCTCTCTCGAGCAACTACAACAATTTACTAGACATATTCTCTCGAACTACGCTAGTTGGCTTTATCTAACCGCTCATTATGATCACGCCAAGGCTTTGTTATTTCTAAACTTACTTTTAAACCCGTTGTATTGATGTCTCACATACGTTAGGAGTGACGTTGTTCAACAATCACCTAAATATGTATCCTTTCTCAAGCAACACATAATAAATAGGCACAGTCAATCGATGACCATTCAATCAACAACAATAAACATGTAGTTGAACAAGTAGAGAAATCCAACGGCTCAATTATATAAAAACATAACAAGAATTTATCCTACAAAAGGTTCTATCAAAACCCTAGATAACAATTTAGCTATTCATAATAGTATGTAAAACTACAATACTAAAAATCATAACCAACAATGAAAAATAGGAAGAGGAAGGAAAAACTCGTTGAAAAATTCCCCGCCTTGCTCCTATTGTATTCTTGACTCCTTAGGTCGAATCCTCAGTCTCCTTAGCCTCCTTAGGTCTAATTTTTATGTCAAAAGTGTGTCCCACCCTTAAAAATATCGTTTTCCATGTATATATACCAAGTAGGGTCGGGCCCAAACAATTATACCTTCTCCTACGCGAAAAAGGACAATATTTCACGTCTAGACTGCCGCGACCGCGGTCAACCGCGGTATATGGCAGGTATACTGCCTCAGCCCGCCTCAGCTCCGTGGTCGCGGTTTCGACCGCGTTTTTCACCCTGTTCCGTTTAGAATTTGAAAAAAAGTAAAACATGAAAGTTGTATCCCTTTGAGTTAGCTTTCCAACCATATATTGTGGAGCGCAAATAGAGTTCTGAGCAAAAAGTTATGTGCATTTTACTAGACAGTATGCAATATGCCTACTCGAGTCTTCGTTTTGTTGTTTTATCATCCGTTGATCCCCGAATACGATCCCGGCTTAATTCCTTGCGCTTTTACTCAGATTTCAAAGCTCCAAATCACTTGAATTCATTCCATAACATCTATATAGCTCGAAATCATTCCTACAAGGCATAAAACACACCGTTAGTGCAAAACACTAGCGATTAAAGCGGAAACTCAACTAAAGTGCAGTAAATTAGAGTGTAATAATCGACTAAAATACGCAATTATAACCTATCATCAAGTTCCTAGTATTGAAGGTAATTAGTTGAAAATGTTCTCGGCTTGTACAATCATTTTTCCATTGAATGATCAGTTTCCTTTTTTATTTTTCAACTTTTGAAAGGGGAAGGGCCGTGCATTTTGTGCTGGCGGTGATGTTATCAATACTTATAATATGATACAGAAAGGTACAACTGCTATTCCTCTTGCTATTTTTTGTTCAAAAGAAAAAATCAGCCCAACGTATAACCAAAGGATGTTTGAAGATAAGTTTCGAAAAAAAGGAACAGTTTTTATGGACAAACGAGTCCTGTCTTCCTTCCGCGGACGCATTCTGAGATGTAGACACTATCTTGTCCAAAACCTTCTTTAGTCTATAGAAAGCACCTTAGAAATTATCTTATAGATACCAACTTGTCACGACCCAAATTTTTCACTTTTGAAAATTGTGATGACGGCTACTCGTGAAAGCTAGGCAAGCCGAGTATTATAAAATCATTACCCTTTTTATTAAGCATGTTCAATAATTCAAAGTAATAAGTGATTAATCAGCGGAATAAATTAAATAATCAGAAATGCGGAAGACGAAAACTTAATCGTTTAACCAAACATTGCTACATAATCTGAAGTACAATACTACCCAGAATTTGGTGTCATAAGTCACGCACCATCTAAGAATACTACAAATAAGGTCAGAATAAAAATACACAAATCTGTCTCTAAATAAGTAAAAACAGAAAGAAAAATGATAGGAGGAGACGCCAAAGCCCGCGGACGTCTGCAGGGCTACCTTGGGTCGCATGAGTGGACTGAAGACAGCACCCTCACTGCGGTCCAAACGCTCCGGTATCAGTATCTACACACGGTGCAGAGTGTAGTATTAGCACAACCGACCCCATGTGCTGGTAAGTGCCTAGCCTAGTTCAGCCACGCCCGGTGCCACGAAATGATTGAGAACTACGACGGGGTCGAAATGAATTTTGTTCTTTGTATTCAATAAGTATTGCATGACTCGTCGACAAGAACTACTCATGAAGACCCAAAACCTCGGCGTGATGCGCGGATAATTTGACGGAATATTAATCTTATAAAATTATGATCTAATATATAATATTATTTTAATAAATATTAATATTATTATTTTATTATTTAATGCAATGTACATAAATATAATAAAATCTATAAAAAATCAAAGGATACAAATCATTTTAGTAATCAAATAAATTATTTATTCCTTGTTTATTCTTTATTAAATTAGTAGGTACTTAGTACTATACATTTACTAATGTGATACTACTTCTCTTCTAGTAGAATATACATATATATTTTCTTATTCTGAAAATATATATTTTTATACTTATGTTATACTGTTTAAAATTCTTCAATTGTCTAAATTTATTCATAATTTTCTTGAGTGTTATATATTTATATTTTGTTTATTAATTAATTTAAAATATAAATATTATAAAATTATCTCTATCCACCTCTTTTCGTACATTCTTTTCTACTATAATATTTGATTAGTTTTTTCATTTTATATTTTACTGATAATTTAAATAATATAATTATTTTTACTAAATTATAATTTTTAATTCATCAAAAGTATAAAGAGATAAGCTTTTTATTATTTTTATAAAAAAAGGTACTAATATTTTTACTAATTAAATAAAATGTTTTTTTATATAAAATATATATCTTATGTATAATATCCTAATTATTTATTTTGTAGTATTCTTCATTTATGACTAATTTTTTATTATTATTTTAGTTATGTGTATACGTACGACTTTTCTCATAATAATTATAATTATTTTATAAGTCTTATATATATATATTTGTTCCTTGATTACCTAATTGTATTATCCATTATTTAATATTGTTAAATCGATATATGAATCTATTTATCTATATAGAATAGGAGAAGCAAAAACACTACATTAAGACAAGTGTCTTAACCACAAAAAACCAAGTGGCATTATTAAGAAAAAATAAACTAATTTTTTTTAAATTTTAAATTTTAAATTAATTGGTTACACTACTTGAATTAATAAATATAGATATCTTATACTAATTATCAATAAAAAAACAAAATACAAAAAATATCCTACTCACCTCCTCTTTATATAGCGTTCAAAATCATGATATATTGATTTTTGCGCTAATTGTTACACAAATGCTACAGGGAACCTTCTTCTGTTGTTATTAATTTTGGGAGCTATTTTCTCCCTTATAGATCTTGTTCTTTTTTTCTCATTAATTATAATATATTATGCAGGTAACATTGACGAGTGAGTGTAAAGAACTTTACCAGAAAATATACAGTCTAGCATATGTTATTGGCACATACTCGAAACCACAGGTGAGTGTGTGTGTGTTTTTTTTTTCCTTTTCTCCAGATAATAGATAATAGATGACAGAAATTTTTGTAATCATTGGATATTCCTCTTGTTGTTCTCTGGGTCCAAAGTTCCAGGTGAGATACTGGTCTCCAATTAGAACAAATCCCTGTAACCAGTCTATCACACATTTGCATTACCTCTCTTTCAGATTCTTCCTTTACTTTACCTAGTGTACTCAATGTCTCCCCGTTCTTAGAGTCAAGGGATTGTGGTTTTAGTGGTAAGATAAAGAATTATGCACTGTTGCTCGGTAGCATACACACAAATGTTCCAAGTCCCAATCAAGTGATAAAGAATAAGAGTATCGTCTCACAGAGAATTGTTAGTAATTAATTCTTCAATTATTTAGTATCAAATTTAGAACAACTTCAATTTGTGCAAACAGTAATTGTTGAATTAATTTTCTAACACTACTCGAGAATTTAGCTGACAATTAAATAAGAACAATGATACGTTATGGAATTCACGTACAATTTACTAAGATTACACGAGAATTTAAGTTTAAAGCCTAGAGTTGTGACCTCCCTCGATTCATTTACTACTTGCATTCTCTTTAACTTGCTTCAACGAATTGAGTCATTAACCAAAGGCATAACTGTGCTAATTAATATATCTCGGATTGCTCATAAGTTTATCTTCTTTAATTTATTATCTATATCTCTATGAGAATAACACTATTTAAGATGCTTAGTTTTACACCCTAATGATGGTTGCAGTTAAGAATTATGAAGGTGTTAATAGGGCAAGCGTCAATTCCTACGATTGTGTAATTATGAAGATATTACTTTCTTTTCTTATTTAGGATTACATATAACACTATTTTAACCCCAACATACTTGAGGAGATAATCAAACAATTCAATTACCAAATCACTTCTGCTCTTTTTCTTTACATGGTAGAGCATTAGGAAGATTAGCTACATTTGATGATGCTCAACCGAAGCAGGGAATGTCCTGGAAGTAGGCTATGAGTCACATGAAGGACTTTGTTTACCTGTATAATGGGTAGAAATATCAGCTTATTAGCGGGTGGACGTTTAGTTGAGGTCATCTGGAATAGGCTAGAGGTCGTTTGGATTAGACTTAAGGAGGAGAAGCTGGAGTCAAACGAGTTGGAATGGCAAGAACCGTGGGGATGGCCTTTTGATTGTGTAATTTGGTGAGAAGTAGAGGATGTCTAAAAATCATTACATCTGCTGAGACAAAGTACTTATGTGTAGCAGTATCATAGCATTTGTAACCTTTTTGGTGATGGGAGTACCCAAGAAAGTACATTTGATAGACTTTGACTGGAGTTTGTCATTTCCGGGAGTGAGATCTTGGATGAAGCTTGTGCACCCAAACACCAGTTGAGAAGAGGAATCAGAGATTGATCCGACTAAAGGATAGAAGAAGGACCTTTGTGCTGTAAAACAGAGGAAGACATGCGATTGATTAGATAACAAGCAGTTAGTAACAGTGTCACTTCATAGAGGAACCGGATCATGAGAATGAATCAGTATGTGCAAGTTGTCTCGATCAATTAACTTTCATTTTAATACTTGTCAACATAGTATGGCTTATTTGAGTAGTTTATAAGGTTCTGAGTTCTCCACTACTAGTGATTGGGACTTAAGCTTTCGAGTTAGCAGGGACAAACCCGAATAGCTTGTTTGGGCCAGTGTTGGACTAAGGATGTTATTCACATCCATTATTTTTCTGTCAGCACTCTGTGATCTGCTAATCTCTAGTGTGAATGTGTGATGCATGGAGTCCCACACTCATTTATGAAGATCTTCATCTATATTAGCTTTAAGCTAGGATTTCTTCCCTTTTTGATTGACAATAACTTTCCATTACCTTTTCTATTTCTTCTTTTGGGTGACTGTATTACACCTCTTTTGGCAATGGGAGTAGTTTCTTGCAATTAAAGGACTCAACTGATTCTCACGCAGGTAGCTCTTCTAAATGGAATCACAATGGGTGGTGGAGCTGCAATTTCAATCCCAGGAACATTCCGTGTTGCGACTGAAAAAACTGTAGTATATCTGCCCTTATTCTGCAATTTTGTTCTTTTTAAGTATCTTTCATTTGCTTTGATGTATCCCTGTCAAGCGGGTGCAATAAGGGTGGGAATACTTAGTGTGGATTCTTCAATATACACTATAAATTAGCAAAATGTTTGGTGTTTCCCACATTGAATACTTATGCACATACATACTTAATACGTACCCATAAATGAATAACATAACTTCTGCTGTTCTTTGTTAGTTTTACCGTTAAATTGACCAAATTTAATACTTTTTGACTCTGGTATTCTACCTACTGGGGGTGCCTATGTGACTAGTTGTATGGGCATGCATATTTTGAGTCCAGATTGCAATTTTCATATTGTTGAACAGTCTTAATCCTTTTTTTTTTCCTAAATATTTGAACAAATTCTTCCTTCTGAGTTGAGGTAAAGAGATTTTGAGTCCCTAACAAGGATGATCTCGAGAAAGGAAAAAGAAATTTCTAGCTTACCTTTACTTCTTGGGATCAAAAGAAGACACTTTCGCTTGCAATCAGCTTCGTTTCTTAACTTTGCCTCTTGCTCCTCCATGTAATTCGTCTGTCATATCACAAATTGAGTACCCTATGTTTTGCGCTGCTTTATGCCGAACTATATTCGTTTCTGATCTTATGGTGTAGCACCTGTTGGTTTCAACTTCACTCTCTTTCATATGATTCATTTTCCATTATCCACTCCTATTCTCTCACCATTTTTCATGCAAGTGATAAGGCTGTGATCCTGATATCCATGATTGACGTTTTGGACTTCTTTATTTGAACCAAAGATTGATCTAACTTGTGATTTTCCATATTGATAATCTTTTCTGAGAATTTGCTTAAACATGATATTTGCTTGGTAAGAAAAAATAGGTTTACTAAAGTTGGATCGTGGAATATGTGATAGTTAAAGTGAATGTATTCAATTTGTAAGAGGGTGCTGCCCAACCCTCAAACAAAGCTGTCAGACTTGTCTTCCATATGCCTAGATCACATATTCTGGATTTGTTCCCAACATTAGGTCTCTTATTCCATCTCCTCAAAGAAAAAAAAAATTGTTCCCAGAGTACTTCTGTCCTCATCTCAGCCACATTTTTGGATACGAAATGTTGAATGCTGGAGTGAAATAAAAACTGTGCTGCTGATGTTGGAAGGAGTGAAGACATCAATGATTTGTTAACCTTTATGGATGGACAGGGTGGAAAGGGAAGTTGTGGATATTTTAAGGGAATGGCATTCTGGCGATGCTATTCTCATTGGAACAAAGAAGAGGAGCAGCGGGGTGCTGGTCATCTGGACAGGAGATGGAAAAGGAAGGGAGGAGAGCTTGGATGTGATTGAGTTTCTTTAAGTGGTCTATCTAATGAAATAATATGTGCTCAACTCTTCAGCTTTTAAGATATCTCTTTTTGATGATGTTCAGCTTTTAAGATATAGATATCTTTTCTTACCTACATAACTGCTCCACCTTTTTTCGGAAAGGTCCATGAATTTTGATTTCCTTCCAAATTCTTTTCTCTTGCCCATCCCCCAGTGTTTTGACACAGGAAATTCTTTATGTTGGTATCTCTTTTAAAGAAAAGGTAGGAAATATAAAACAATGAACTGCAGCTAGTAATTCCTCTTTGGATTTATCAATACTCAATTCACGATATTGCGAAACATACTCTATTATCGTCATGAATATTATTCCTTCACTGAGCATTCATACATTCAATGCCATTGTATTGCTGTGTGTACCATGGCTCACCCTGGTTCAAGATTTGTCGCAACAGGCAATATTAGTTGCTAGGGAGCTGATTATGTACTGCATTTGCAGGAGAGTACCTGGCCCTAACAGGAAACAAGCTCAGTGGAGCTGAAATGATGTCCTGTGGTCTTGCTACACACTACTGTCTCAGTGTAGTCAGTTCCTTCCACTGAATCATATGTTTTTCTGGTTGCTGTACAATTACTAAGATTACCTGATATATGTATCATCTGGCTATGTCACCTTTCTTCTTTTCAATCCTCTCAGAGGCTTCCCTTAATCGAGGAACAACTCGGAAAGCTTATAACGGACGAACCTTCTGTCATTGAAAGTTCCCTTGCAAAATTTGGAGATATTGTCCATCCGGATAGAATGAGTGTACTTCAAAGGTACTACTTATCTTGTGAACCAGTTCCAAATTAGAGATCCATACTGTTTGAGCTTCCCTTCACTGGGTTTCATTAAGCTTCTTTAGGTGTCTAGGCTTCTTTAGAAATTCAGCGCCGCCCTCCCTCTTGTTGGAGAAACCACTTGAACCAGTGTATGGACCCTAAAGTTTTCATGCTTCCTAGTTCTCGCAATGCTTCGTGCACTAACCTATTTTGAGTTGTTCTCTGCCTTCTAGCAATTATTTTAGCTAATTTTTATAATTAATCAGCGAAGTGACATTCACTTCGTATAGCAACGTCTTTTTTGTGATACATAGACATGCTTATTGGAGATTATGCCCTATGCAATCTTGATAAAAGAATTACTAATTACAAAATTAAAATGTTTGGCATTGTTAGTTACTTTCTTTAGAACTCTTCATTGCGCCTTGAGCTCTGTTTGTTTTATCATTCTTCTGTATCTATTAATACCTTGCTTGCCTAACTCCTGATGCTTTAAAATTATGCAATTTGAGAAGTATGAATTTTACAAGCTGATGATTATGGATTAAGCTTTCTCATGCTTTCATGAATCTTCTAATTGTGGTTTTTCTTTAGTTTTCAAAAGTTTTTGGTTATCTATCCTGTTTTCCTTCTGCGTCGTTTCTGCTTAAATACCAGCCTATATCTGATGTTTTTGTTAGTTCGTCTTGTTTGTCCTGTGTAGGATTGAAACACTTAATAAATGTTTCTGCCATGAGACAGTGGAGGAAATCATTGATTCTCTGGTAAGCATGTAATCTTTACCTCCTGTTTCTGTAAAAAAGATGTAATTCTATTTTGCTAAGCAAAATGTGATAACCCGCCATGTCATCATGCCACATAGGCGCCATTTGGCATATATTAATGCCATGTGGAAGCTTACATAAGAAGAAGGCTAGCATTTGTGAGAACATTCTAGAGAGGTATGCACATTTCCTTAGGAAGAACCTAGATCCTTATGGATTTGCTAAGAAAGTCCTTGGAATCTTCTA